GCTGTAGTGTCGTTTGATATAAATCAGGATTTAGGTGTTATTTTATACGTAGCTTAACACAGAACGAGATCAATTTTTTGGAAAATCGGTAAAGTAATATCATTCATCCTGTATGGTGCATAGTAAATAAGTAATACATGGGTTTATTCGAGTCAAGAGACCTGGCAGGCTTGCAGAGGGCTATGCTGTCTCTTTGGCCAGGCAATGTAAGAAAATAGGAGTGATGACAGATCATAAAGGATATGTAGGAGATAAAACTCGATATGCCATGAAATTTAATTATTGCTATTAACAGAAGGAAAGGTGTGCAATCAACAGCGTTAATATAGAAATAACAGTTAATCCCCAGGATATAAATAAATTGATAGGTTCTCCATAGAAGTATTTTCATAAGTAAGATGATCTGACAGCAAGGCCATGACATAAAAGCTTAACAGTTGTCAAATGTCCTGCGAGCAATACGAATTTCTTTGAGTGGAAAACAGGTAGAGAGTGAAAATATCCAAATATAATGTTACAGGCCCAAGAAGAACAGTGAAGATACTGGATATAAAGATATTTGAGGTGGACCATAATCTGTGGGAAAGTAGTTGTCTACTGAAAGATATCTGGAAAGCATAGCTCCTCGTAATCTGCAGTCTATGGTCAAAGGGAGCCGATGAATTCAGTCAGTGTGGCCATAATGAAGGCTTTATACGAATATAGGTGGACTTTCCAGCAAGGTGTTTGTCAAATATGACTTCAAGATATTTGACTGAATTAGTCAGCCATATAATAATATTCTCTATCTGAATGTCAAACAATGATGGGTCACGACATGGTCAAAACTTATGGTGGGATGGATCAAAGGGAATGGCTTTAGTTTTTCTAGTACTAATTTTCTTTTGCCTCTCTCATTACAACTTCAATCAACTAATTATTTGAATGCTTTCAAGAGGGGCATCCACTATCCAGATGGATGTAGAGGGATTCTTGTATATTTCCTTTTTCGTGTGTGTGACTCATAACCCATTGTTTTAGTATTATTCCAGTTTATCTTATGGTCTTATATGTCAATTATGGTACTGAAATCTAACCTTTGTTTCTTCAATGTATCAGAGTCTACATTCACAAGATACATATTCTCACAATACCACTAACAGCATTTTAGAAATCATATTAGAATGGACTTATGAATCGTCTTAAAAACGTAACCTTAATCTTTTCCTTACTAGTGCTATCCACTTTTTATACTTGGAGGCTGTGGATCTGTTATAAGAATGATGGTTAAATTCTACTCTTTGATTAGAGTAACTAAAAGCTGGTGTTGAATAACTTCGGGTAAATATTCGAAACAAACACATCAAACCATGGGGAAGATATAACATATATTACTTTAGCAACTATGATATATTCAAATACAAAAGATCTATGGTAGAATTAATTGTTTTGTTCCTTAAGTGTTGTTAAAGACTTTAAAATCTTACACATGAAACATGATTAACAAAGTAAAATAAAAAAATCCACCTAATGATTCCTAATCGATCATTATTTAATTAATAAAATATGCTATTTCTATTATTATTTTGAACGACAGGGTTGTTCACTATTTTGTGCTGCAGTTTGTTTTATATCTTTCTATTATTCTAGAATTTATCATATCTGTTTTAAAAATGATTACTGTGGATAAATAGATAGATAAAATATCGGGTTAAAATCAACATACAAATATGTAAAAGAACAAATAAATCAGACTATTTCGTTTTCCTTCTTTATAATACATACGAGCTCTACAAAATTATTCATAGGTCTCTGAGACTTTAAGATTTTTCGAATAATACATAATACAAAGTACCAAACAATGTTTATAGGCTGATTATGTAATGAAAAGGCAGTTATTGAATTGAGAATTGTATATATTTAACTTCTATTATAAAATTGTTTTATTGTTGTGGTGATATTAACCTAAAAAGCTGAATAAAGACTGGCAGCACAATACCTTGAATGTAATTACCATATATAATTCATATTTTCTCCTTAGTTCTAGAGTCAAAAAGTATGTACAAATGTTTCAAATGTTTGTCGCATATTCAGATGGACCAATATTCTATTGAAGCTCAAAGTACCAATAATTGCATTTATTTTACCTTATATAATGGCGAAAATTTAGAGCATTGTGTAAAGGTACGTCTATTAGCCAGCTACTAACATAGGTCATATACATAATATTTCGGTTGTGCTTCTAGAAAGCAAATATTAAATTTCAAATTTGTACGAGTTTGATTTGATTTTCGGTGTCACGTTTTCAAAGAGGACATTACATATTTTATTGGAAGTTATTATGTTGAGATGAAAATCTGATATTTATCTAAAATTAGTGTAATTTGGAAAAGATTAGATATAAGAACCATGCAATATGGAGTGAGCATATCATATGTAATAGAATAAACAGTTAGATAAAATGAAATAAAAACTCACAATATACACGGCAAATATAATTTTCAAGCAAGTTGGTTTTGCAATTTTATGAACATATTTCAAAACTAAGCTTTGGAATAATGTTGACTGCTAGTTTAATTCAATATAATGACTGTCAACCTAACACCACTGAAGTATTGTAGGAAATTATTAGACATAACCCAGACGAAGTGCTGAATGAAATCAGTTTAACATTTTTAATACATGATCTTATGCAGGTCAAAACTAATTTCTTGACGTTATGTCGTCTTCTATTCTTACAAGTCAGAGTTTGCCTGTCTAGTGATTACTATTTTACCTAAAACTATTATATTGTTAGAGACTTCTGAAATAACGCTATATATATAATAAGAATAAAATATAAAATGTCTCTTACACTGATGATGACAAAATCATATTTGTCATAGGGGCTAAGTTTATGGCTATATCTTAGGCCTTGCCATACACTGTGGGAAAAGTTGCATCAAATCAAAAGGGCGAAGCTGCAAAAATCCGTTAACAGAAGTTGCAGTTCATTAAAATGAGACGAAAAAAAGCTATTTATGAATGATATCGGCGTTATGAAATATTCTAATATTTTAGATAGATAATTATTTGTTTGTTAGTTTCAGAGTTTTCGCTCAAAGCTATAAAAGAGTAATTTGCGCATAGCCATCTCTAAATTTAAGCTGATAGACTAGAAAGAAGGCAGCTACTCGATGGGCCGCAAACCATCAACCTTCAGTTTCACTCTATAGGTACTGAATTAGGTGGTATTTCTGACATTCATTTTAAGTGAATATTTAAAAAAACAAAATTATTATCACCTCCGAACGTCATGGCTAATTTAAAAATCGATCTTGCCACATTTCTTTGTTGTTAAGCGCTGAGCTACATAATGAAATATCTATGCTTTGTCAATCACAAGTATTGAAACATGATTTTAGCATTATTAGCTCTCAGACAAGAGAGAATTTGTTTCACCAGAAGGACACTATGTTACCATTTTAATACACAGCAAGAAAGAGCTTGCTTTACCAGAAGTAAACTAGGTTTCACTCCTAACACGTGACAAAAAGGATTTGCTTTACCAGAGGTAAACTACGTTACCATCCTGATACACGACAAGAAAGAAGTTGCTTTACCAGAAGTAAACTAGGTTACTATCCTAATACACGATAAAAAATAAGTTGCTTTACCAGAGGTAAACTAGATAACCATCCTAATATAAGACAAAAAATAATTTTCTCTACCAAAGGTAAACTAGATTCACATCATTATGGACGATAAGAAAGAATTTGCTGCTTTGCCTGGGGTAAATTGGGTTACCATCCTAATGTAAGACAAGTAAGAATTTGGTTTACCAGAAATAAACTAGCTAACCATCCACATACATGACAAGAAAGAATTTGTTTCACCATAGGTGAACTGGGCTACATCCTAATACATCATAAGGAATAATTTGTAATAGAAGTAAACTAGTTTACTGTCCTAATACACGACAAAATTGGCAAGCCTGTTACAAAAATATGGTCCTTCCAAGAATAAATTTTCACTTTTAAGAGTTAATGGGTAGTTTTATGAAACAACACAATTGTGTCTAAATGCAAAAAGAAATAGTAGCTCAATTTTTATTCACATGAAATTCATAATTGCTTTTAACTTCAGATTAGGAACTATCACACATGTGACGCGTGTGAAATATGATTCAGCATGAGTAATGTGTAAATAAAATCTGAATTATGCTATATAAAGCAGTAAACTATATCCTATCGGTGATTATACCCATTCATACCAGAAATCTAAGAGATCTGTTATTTAACTTATTGGTGGCCATCCTTCTCTATGTTAGCAATATAGACGACGTTTAAGTTAACCTGCTCACTTCCTCCGCTCATATCAGGAATCAGCATAATCTGTTGGATCAGCGGCAAGTTTGTAGACTTATAAAGCTATATCCTAGGTTAAAATTTCAAGAGTGGACAGAGTGCATAAACTTTCTAGAATTGTCTTTTTTACTATTCTTTTTCAATATTTTTGAGTTGATTTGTGGGAAAATTTTGTTCCATAAAGTATGAGCTGCTGTCAACAGAGTGGAAGTTGTCTCCTTACAAGAGTTTAAGATAGAATCAATTACATCCTGAGACAAAATATAAGTTGGGTTTAATTTTTGTTTTCTTCCTTATGGACGTGGGTATATAAGGTCAGCCTTAGAACCAAATGGACCCTTGTTTTTCGTATGTTATTTTATGTTCAGTTATATTCAATCAGTTATTAGTGAATTCTCAGTTTCTTGAAATAAATACATTTCCGTTAAAATATAACATTTGTTTGTATTATTGTTTGTTTTTTAATTATGCACAAAGCTACACAAGGGCTATCTGTGCTCTGCCCACCACGGGTATCGAAACCCGGTTTCTAGCATTGTAACTCCGCGGACATACCGCTGTGCCACTAGGGGGCTTGTTTGTATTAATAACTGATTTAAATCAATATTTAAAAGACTTCACCCTTTTCATGGTTCAAAACGTAATTTTATATTACCTTTCTTGTTATATTTAAAGCTTGTAACTGTAGATGGCAGTCTGTCTTGTCTGAGAAAAATGGAAGCTAAGAAATCGAAACGATCGAAAAGTGAGAGCAATTCTTCTAGGAAAAAATCGAGAAAAGAAAAAGAAATAATTCAGTCTTTACAACACTATGATACGTTGTAAGTATGAAAATGCAGAGTGAAAGAAAAATTATGGTGATATATTTCCAACAATAAAGAGGGCCTATTCAAGATTATACTGGCGGCTAAGAGCTGGACTGTTTCAATGTTTATATCGCTAGTAATATATTATAATTTATATAGTATTAGTAGTATCACTATCAGTAATCACTATGTTTCGTAAAATTGTATGAGGCTATGACTATGAGTGTGGATTATGATTGAATACAAAATACATTTAGCGAGTTACATTAGTTCTGATCAGAAATCGAAATAAACAGCTTATCTGAAAGTTAGGATAATCTACCATTACTAATGAGATATTTAATATTAGTATAATTAACATTTGGTATATGCCTGACGTACTAACTGAGGAATAATTTGAAGTTTTGAAATTTACTGTTTGGTAGTTCTGTTCAATTTTGTGCAAGATAGTAGGAAAGAATACTATTGTATTAACAATTTTGTGGTACATCCTCTCAAAGTGTCAAGTGTTTGTTAATAAGTTTCTTTAACCTGAGATGTTTAAATATATTAAACTGTTATTGAAACTTAACAGTTAATAACTTCTCTTAATAAAATAACTGAGGAAGTAATATTTAACTGGCCGTGGTATCTCAACCTAGAATACTAAGGAATAGTGAAATGACTATTCTGTAAAAGTTTGATATGTAGTATAATACATATTAAAATACATGCATTATATTTTTAATATAATGGCATGGTTCCATATTATATTGCAATGGTTTGTTTTACCCTTTTTCTTTTATATAGGGGATTTTTGTAACCAAATATACCCTGAAACTGGTGCTGTTATTTTTTAATTGTGATTTGTATATTTTTAAAATTTTTGTTCAAAATGTAATTTAGTTTTTAGCTTTTTATTTTACTCTTGTATAATTTTATGAACACCAAATTTATTTGTGTTTATAAAAAAAGTATTGTTTTATAAATTTGACATTAGCAGTGGTTTCAGATTAGCTGTTTGCCATTTCTGGCAGATATTATCACTTGGTTAGATAACAACTTCATCAACACACCATTCTATTGAGGGGAAAAAATCATAGATGAACAGTGCAGAGGAAATGAATACATGAAAGTCTAAGCAAACAAATCTTTTGTATTATTTTTGAATTAGTGTTATTTTTTGAGCATGGTGATTGGTTTATGGAATGAGTTACCATCAGCAGTAGTGGAGAACAGCATGTACAGAAGAGGACAGTCAGTGATTTTTTGAAAAATAATGGGTGGGTTTAAATTTTTATTTTTCTCAAGGGTTTGTGTGCAAGAACCAAACAGTAACTTGTTATCCATAAAAAAATCAACTGATGCTAATACATAACTGTGTTAATCGTTTTTCAGAACACTTGACTACTTATGCCACCACTTTGACATGTTAATCTTCAAATTTCAGAACAGGAAAGGTAGACAGTTTAATATACATTAACATTGATATGAACATATACCTATACTAAAAGACTTTGAAGTTAAGGAAGAGAGAAGATATTGGACTCATGTAGAAGGCAATAAGCAGATGAAGTGAAGAAGTTAAACAAATTGGCTGTTCTTTTTAATAGTCTAGTTCATAGTAAAACAAAATTGACCCTTTACAAATGTAAAACCTCTTTGTGAACTTCAGAAGAGGAATGGAGTCCCCATCATCAATACATCTTTAACTGATTATAATGCAAACAGATTTTGAGATTTATTTTTCAAGTATTACGTGGTGATTAAAAAAATATCCTTTACGTATTGGTCCATTCTTTGGACTTCTCGTAGATAGTAGTATAAGTATTACAAATCTAGAAAAGGAGGAAATTTGGATCAAGATTCTTGAAGACAACTACCCAGTTTTAAGGTTTATTGATTGTCTAGCAATTTCTGGTTCGGCAACATCAGAGGTGGTTGTTGATGCAGTGAAAAAAGTTCAGAAGAAACGTCCAGATCCAGACTGGAAAAAAACAAACATTATTCTATGCAATTGGAGCTATCATTAATCAATACACCTAAAAAGGAGTTCATTCTTCTAAGTGAAGAGGTATTTCCTTAATTTTAATGATTTTGAATTGATACTGTGAGTTGACTGATGATTTAAAAAATTTTACACTACAAGAAGATAAAGAATCAAGCAATCAGATACAGTACTTACCCCTCTCGCAAGATTAACTTCTACTCCCCCCCATTGGAATTGCAAAATTCCAACATGTCTCTCATGCAAATCATCATGCATCACCTACTCACCAATAGGAGCATGATGTGATGCATGTGACTCCCTCTGCACTTGTCTACCAAACTATCACATCTCATTTGGCAGTGCTTTGTATTTGGAGATGTACTTTTGTTTGTTTAATGCTTCACTTTGACATTGTTTCCTCACGAAATGGTTGTTTTTTTTATTAATTTGCTTTTTCTTATTATTTATGAGTTAATTCTAGTCACCTTAACTTTTGCACTCAAATTTGGTGAACCTTTCTGTGCATTCAATTCCAAAGTTAACATTGTCATGTTGGGGGTTACACCAGCAACCAGCTTAAGTGAGGGCAACCCAATGGTGGATTTATCTGATTTTATATGCTTTGAGATCGAACATTACATGGAAAACATTTGTCTTCGGATACTGCACAGGCTCCTCCAGAACAAGTTAATCTTGTGCAGGCAGATGAGGACTTTGATCATATTCTTCCACCTCCAGATTTTGTCATTCCTTCCTATTTCCAACCCAATGAGTCTACTAGGCCTTATGCGGTCTTTATGGATTTTGTGTCTCAGGTTTGTGGCATTTTATCCCTTTCCCCTATTTCTTATGCACCTCATCCTTCCTTTTTGTATGAACGACCTTCTCAACCCTTTTTGGTTTTTCCTCCCTCACTTGATATTTGGGTTTATGCTGCACCCCCAACAGATTTCAGATCAGTTTGTACTTTCTTACTATCATGCCGACTAGCAGTTGTTAGGTTCCTTATTGCCTATTTGTGGACAGCTTCTGAGTCATCTGTCAGTCTTACCCATGCCCAATATTCTTGTCCTTACAAATCTATTACGGTATCTTTCTTCTATATATCTCCTATCTGAGGGTCTCTACAGAAATCCTGAAGGGTTTTCTGTAGATACCCTTGCCCTTCTCTCCTCCACTTTAGTCCACATGTCATCTTCGGCTCTGGTTGTGATGCTGTACTGGCTTAAGTCCATTTACTCTTGACATATCTTAGGGATTTACATATGGCCCTATTTATGAGGTGTTAAGTTTTTGATACAGTCCCAGAAACTCTTGAGCCTCAGATGACATGGGTCCAACAACAATCCACTCTTACAAATATTGTAGCCCGTTTGTCTCAGTGAGAGCCTAATATGCCTCTAATTACCATTTCCTGTCCTTTCCCTGCCCAGCCTTTACCTCTCCGTTCTACTTGAGGTACTTCTTGTTGCTTTCCTCTATAACCCCCCTCCCCTCTCGTCACCACCAGTACCGTTGACTACCCAGTGAGTTCAGGTCTGGTAGGAGCTTGGCTGTTCGAGTTTCTTCATCACTGGGATTCCTTTGTTGATGATCAATGGGTGCTTCAGGTTTTGTAAGAAGGATTCATTGTCCAATTTCTTTCCCCACCTCCCATCTCTCCTTACCACATTTCCTTCCCTCCTCGAGATCCCATGACCAGACAGTATCTGTCAGAAGCAGATCTGAAATTGCTATTGCAGCAGGCCATCACATTGTTCCCCATCCTTCCCAGGGTTTTTATTCCTGCCTTTTTGTTGTCCCCAAGAAAACCAGAGATTGGCAGCTGGTAATCAGTTTATCTTGCCTCAACTGCTTTATTTCACTACACCAGTTCACCATGGAGTTTTCTCACCTGGAGCAGGACATGTTCTCTGGGAGTTGTGGATAACCGAAATAGATATTTCCAATGCTTACCTACATATGGAGATCACCTGTCTCATCCTTATCTTTGGTTTGTCCATATCAGGGTGGTTTATCAATTTTGGGGCCATCCCCTTCTTGACTTGCCTCACCACCTTACATACTCTGCTGAGTAATCTGAGCTTTTGCTCGATATCTCCATGCCCTGGGGCTGCAATTTCATTATTACTTGGATGACTGGCTCATTCCAAACAGGAATCAGTCAGTCATACTTAGCAGCTCCTTTCTGTGGTGGCTTGGGTGGGCTGGTTGATCAAACTGGAAAAGTCCTTCCTGAGACCCACTCAATATCTTGTCCATTTGGGAGTCTTTTTGAACACTCATATAAGTCAGGCCCAGCCTTCTCCTTTACGACTTCATTCAATGGAACTGTTGGTTTGCCATGCCCTGTCGACTCAGTCACTTACTGCTTGTGAGGTTCTATCACTTTTGGAGATGTGGTTATCAATGACATCACTGGTCCCCCTCAGTCATGTCCATGTGAAATCCCTTCAGTAGGGGCTTCACAATCGATGGAACCTTCCTCAGAATCCTCTTTCCACCCACATTACTTTTCCTTTTTCCCTGAGAGACGATTTGCTTTGGTGGTTGAACAAAGTCCATACGTCGGCAGGTGTGCTGCTTCCTTCCCTGTGTTTGGATCTACAACTTTTCATGGATGCATCCCTTGAATGATGGGAGACATGGGTAAATCACCAACAGCCTTTGGGCCATTGGTCTGCAGATGAAAACTCTTTGCATATCAATGTTCTTGAACTTCTAGCCGTACGCAGATGAAAACTCTTTGCATATCAATGTTCTTGAACTTCTAGCTGTACATTGGCCATTGCATCACTTCCTTCTTCTTGACTGATATTGTCTGGTGATGGTACATTCAGACAATTCTACAGTGGTGGCATGTATCAACGACCAAGGGGTCACCCAATCCAGAGATCTCTGTTTTCGAATGTTAGATCTTTTATACTGGGTCCATGCACATCACATTCATCATATTGTGTCTCTTGTGCCTGGTGGTTTCAATCTGGTCACGGATCATCTTTCATGTCCTTGGCAAGAAGATCTGGTTTCACACATCGAGTTACTTCCTTGTTAGCTGGTTCCATTCATCCATCTTCCATCTTGGAGGTTTACCAATGCAAGTAGAAGGTATTCCTTCATTGGTTTACAACTGGACTAATGTGGCTTGTGTGGCAGAATTTCTCACCTGGCTCTTTGACTATGGGTCTTTGGTCTCTTCACATTTGGGATATTGGGCAGCATTACCCCTTATCTTTTGTTTTTCCCAATACCATAGAGTTTTTATTTCATCTGTCCTTACCATGCTCATGCATTCCTTCTGGATACATTGCCCTACGAGGTGACTTACTTTACCTCTGTTTGAACCACTTTCATCATGTTCCATGTTTCATCTTTCTCTCAAAATATATTCCTTTCTTCACTTAGCTTGTGGACGTCGATGGTCTGATTTGTTTGTATCCTCCTATTTGCAATAACCAATGACAATGGAGTGAGACATCAGAATGAATTTTGAAGTGATAGTCTGGTAGTGGAATGTAGAGGGAGTCACAGGAGCATGTCATGCTCTTATTGTTGAGTAGGTAACGCATGATGATTTGCATAAGAGACATGTTGGAATCTTGCAATTCCAATAGGGGGGAGCAGAAGGCTTGTGGCATGCATAAAGAAAAAGTTTGTATATAGAGTGCAGCACTGAACAAGAATAGCTAATCTTGTGAGAAGAAGTAAGTACCTATCAGAAATAAAAATTTTAGTGTAGTAACATTATAACTTTGAGTTATGTAAAATTTCTTTTCTCCCAATAGTATATAAATACAAAATAATAACATTAAATTGTAAAATACTTTCAGTGCTGTAATCCTGTATAGTATACTATGCCAAAATCTGGCTGAGAATGTCTGTAAAATGTGATCAAAGTGTTCTGTGTTTCAATCGATTAAAAGAACGGCAATCACCTATTCCCAGATTTTACAGTTGCATGAACATTCACAGCATATTTCCTACAAAAAATTATAATATTTAATTTATTAAATGTGTTATAAATTTTTTAATTTATTATTTATTTTGAAATGCAACATGTATTTATATATAAAGCATGATACGTTAAGTTTTTGTATAATATTAAATCAAATTTATTTTAAATTTATATAGATTTTATTTATGAAACGTATTAAATAAATATTAGTAAATATAATTTATTAAAATATGTGTTATAATTTCTCATTCTAGTTAGCAGTCTAGATGTAGAAATTCTGAAATCCAACAAGCCATTGGAGATAGGATAGGTTCAGCATCGACTGATGGCTCTTAAAGCTCTATTACATAACTTGGATGCTACTATCCTACATTGTAATCAAGTGAGTAACTTGTTGTTCAGGGCTTTAATAAAGTATTATAATAAATAAAAATATATTTATAATTGTATTCATGATTGACAATAGAGGTCACCTGTTTTGTTTCAACTGTTTTTCCAGGTAAAGCATAGGAGTAAGAGCAACACCCAGATAGAATGGGCAGTAGCTGTTCTTCATTAGACGACAGAAGAGCAATATAAGTTCTGTTATTTGATAGAGAAACTCGTGGAGTGTTTCAGACCCTTGAGTGGTCTTTCACAGAAAGAAAATGTTGGCATTAAAGATATTACTTCAACATTAAATGTGACTAAACTGTCCTTAAAATTAGGATTGAGTAATGTTGAACAGTTACTGTAGCAAATTATGGATAGTGAAGACTATGCCAAAAATCAGTTGTTAATCATGGGCAAAATCTAATTACTGAAGAAAATAATGCACTACTTGAAGAAAGATAGATCATGTTGTGAGATGAAGATTTACATGATGCTGTAGTTGAGACTATAAATACCTTATCTGAAAATGAGAATGATAACCTAGTTCCTTTAAAATATGATAATGATCATAATGATGAAACAAGTGATGTTAAACAGTATTACAGGTGGTATCCTTAATAGCCAGGTCATTTAATCTGGACCAAAACAATTCATTGTACAGAAGACAACAGAAACATTATGTGAACAATTTAAATCTCTTTAGTAGAAGATCTGGTTGCTCATATTTTTCTGTTTTTTTTAATCCCAAAGAATTACCATCTATGATTTAAAAAAAAAAGAACTGATATTTGGTCAGGAATCAATTTGAGTTCTATATATTTAATTTAGAAAAGAATTGAAATATCCAAATTTTTCTTACAAGAAATTTGACAATGAATGGGCTGAACATTTGGCTTAGTTCACCACTGTTAAGAAAGCAGGTGTGTCACATGATATGATATGAAGAGTATACAAAATTATTTTCTTGGTGATGATGATATCTGACATATGATTGGATTAGATAAACTGTATCTTATACACACTGTGTAAACAAACAACCTAGAAGGAGGCTACAGTAAAGGTACTTATGACTATTAAACTATATACAATCACAACTGTGGATATCTTTAAAGTTGGAGCACAAGCAATTCAAAGAAAGGTATTACCAATATGTAAGAGGTAGGAGATGCCATGATCATGTTTCATGCAAAACAACATGGCAGGGCTTGTACGTATATGCCATAGATGTAAAAAAAATGTTTTTGTTTTCTGTGAAACTTTCATGTGATGGAAGTCTACTTTGTTAATAATTTGCCACCAGTGAATGAACCAGGTGAAGGTCTTGGGAAAATTCTGCCATTACTTCCAATTGACCTGAAAAAAAAAGGTTTCTATTTTGAATTTCAACTTTAAAATCAATACAGTCCATTTAGTAGTTTTACAGAGGTTGAGTAGATTACATTTAAAAAAAAGTAAATATGCAAATTGGCAAGTTGTGTGACAGCTGTAGCTGATGTAAAGTCAATGCATTATCAAATTACATTTTGTGTCATTTCATAGAGTGGTGATGATACCAAAAATTTATTGCTTTTAGGAAGCACCCTTTCTGATGCAAAATATTCATATATTTAAGATAGTAAAATTGTTTTAAGATCAGGGAGTTAGAATTTTTAAGTCTGAGATATCCCTTGTACTTAATAGCATTGGAAAACAATGGAATGTGGACAAAGTTGTGGCACACTTCTGTGGTGAGCAAAGTGCAGCATCTTCTAACAGGTGAGAATCCAAGAACACAAAGATCAGACAAAAATTGTCTAGGGCAACAATATGCAACATAATGAAGAAGGATCTCCATCTGAAAAAGAGACCAAAACTAAAGGTAGTGTAAAGATAGAAACAGTAGAGAAGATAGTGTCTGGTTTGGTTGAAATAGGTCATTGAAGATTTTTCTTTTTTTGAACATGCTATTTATCTCCAGTTCAACAGTCTTATTCCTTATGCAGCTGGAGAATGAAATGAGGATTCATGCTATTCCATATGAAGACACACTGATCCTTGGACACAGCACCAATAGATTTCTGTTACAATCAAATGGAAACTGAGAAACAGTCACTTTCATACACTAGATGTTTTATGGTGTACTTTGAACATGACAACCTGATGAAAGAGCCTTTTCCAATAAAAACTACATTACAATGTTATTGTCAAGATAATGGCCATCACACAGACCAGGATCAAACATAATGATGTCGGATGTAGTGATGTGATAAGGCCCCAAAATTATTTTAATATAATTTACTCAATCCTTTGTAGACACTGGCTTGTATCTTACTGTTGTATCTGTAGACAAATTTTCTCAGTCATTTGTGTGAAAGCTAGAGATAAATAAAAAAAAATATTGTTGATGTGTCATTGTTTCAAATTGTTTATTATCAACATATGATAAAGCCTATAAACTTTTATCTGAGTTCAATATTTATCAGTGCTCCATAGATGTAAATGGTTATCTAATCAGTTTGTTTTTAGGGCTATATATATAAAATAAAAGAAATGCACAGTACTTTATAGTATTAACTGTTCTTAATTGTGTATCAAAGGTTTGTGTGTAATATTTTTTCTTATCTTAATCTTATTTTATGAAAAGCACAGTTTTATTAAATAGAGTACTTGAACAATAGAAAAGACTATTTTGAAAAATAAAAAATACAAGCAAATATATAATAGAAATGTAAACAAATAAATAGGAACAATCATATTGTTATTTTTAACTTTGCTTGTTCATAATGACAGTGCTTCAATTGGATTTGGCTTATGGAAATTTGGAAAATATTGCTAGTTTAGGAGTTTCATTACCAAAGTTGTAATATATAATTTGAACTCTGTATTAATAATGGATTTTTTTATTGTGGTAGTTTCACAAACTTGAGATTTGTCTAGTGTGTCATATATCTTGTTTGTTTTTACCTCACTGTAGATATGTTCTTTTATAATATTCATTGTTTGTGTTTTCATTCATTTTACACAATATTTTGCAAGTTTTGTTTTCTTACCTGTGTTCTTAAACATCTATGTCTAAAATACATTTGTGCACAGCCAGATGTCCTATAAGCATGTTATTCACCTGTACTCATTGCATTATAGTTATGAAACCTAGAATATTTATGAAACTTGTGAGTAGACTTTTAATATCATTGTTTGACTGATATATCTATAATTGAAAGAAAATCACATGCAGTACTAAGTGTTATTAGGCTTTCCATTAAACTCAGTAACTGCAGAATTCAGTGGAAATGAAAATTTCATAAAACATTAAATTGCTTGAAAAGAACCTACACCACAGTCTATGGATCCTATGATCATTTTTATATAAAATAAAAAGGTGTATAATTTGTTTAGAAACAGCCATGAAAATAGTGTCTAGTTTATTTAGAAACGGCAGAAAAGATATTGTCTGGTTTGGTTTGAAATAAGTCAATGAAGATTTGTTTTTGCAGATGCTATTAGTGAAAGTTTATGATTACTGCTTATTATTTGTTGGATAATTTCATTTTTAATCCCATCCCCTTTTACAACCAATATGTTATTTTCTTACTTGTAGCTATGGTCAGGCACCACCTGGCCTTGTCCAGGAAGAGAAAGACAAACCTGAAGACTGTATTCCAGACACACCTGAAAACAAACAAGCTCGAGAGTTCCTTGCTAAAGCTCCAAGTAAAGGTCTGTGGATGCCCCTCGGTAAAGAAGTCAAAGTTATGAAATGTAAGAACTGGATGCTTTTGTATAAATTATAGCATCAGTTAAAAGAGCATTAGAAAGGGGGAAAAGCAGTTTATTTTATTCTTGAGTATATGTAATGTTTACTTTCAATTAACTACTGTGAACTCCAACCACTGCTTCAGAATCACAATTGGCAGAACTTTTCAGCTTATCTGAAATAGACATAAAATATTTCCTGTCACATTATCAGAAGTAATCAGTGTTTTTACATAGTTATAATGTCATATTTTCCTTTGATCTTAATATAGGTTGGAGGTGCAAGGTTTATGGCCACAGGACTGGTGACAAAGAGTGTCCACTGTTCCTCAGTGGCAACAAAGAAATAGAAAAGTTCCGATATGTAAGTGTTTAATGATAAACTTCTCTTTTATTCATAGCATCAAATTCGCCTTGTGAAATTATACTTAATACATGATGCAGTGCATCTGCTACTTATATAAACTGATTAATTTAAAGAATGAAATGTATGTTAGTTTACCATTTTAAATGTTAAAACAAATCTGCCAAATTCTTTAGAAGAAACCCAATTTATTTATTCACCCATCATTAAACCATGTTTTTTCTTCCTTGAAATATATTAAGTGATTGAGCTGTTTTTAGTTTGTTTTAAAGACAATGTATCCACTGTGACTTGGATGTGTAGTTACTTCTTGTATAAATATGTGTTTTTTTGTGGTGAGTTTGTACTTTGATTTAAATGTTTTTTTTCCAATCTTCACCATTTCAGTGCTTGCAAACTCAACTTTCAGTTGGTACTTGTGTTTTGTGAGAAACATAAATTCAAAATTTGTTGTTTTGCTGAAGTCCTCAGTGTGTGTGACCTTTACTTCAGGCTTAAATATATGTATCCAGCCACCTTACAGGTTAATTTGTTGTTTTGCTGAAGTCCTCAGTGTGTGTGACCTTTACTTCAGGCTTAGATATATGTATCCAGCCATCTTACAGGTTGATTTTCTACTAGTTGAAAACTATAGGCATCAGAATAACTTTTTATATGATTTTTTTCTTACTTCTGTTTATATTGCTTAGAATAATTTAACTTTTTTTTTTCTAAATTCAAGAGCTTATTTTCTAAGAATATACATGTTTATTATACATTTTGAAGTAGTGCTTCATTTTGTTCTCATTAATTATTTCATTGTCTGCTCAATTTCTACCAGATCCTAACCTGAAGCTCTGGGGTCCATCTACTCTTAGACAACTTTCTAATGCTTATCAAATATATTTTGATTACTCTCAAACATTTTTTGATATGTATCTCATAATTCTTTAATTATTCTTAAACATTAGCTACTTTGCATTATCTTTCTGTCACAGAAATTTCCTTGATCTTGTGTCCTTGCTTATTAACCCATTTATTTGTGTAATCTATTTATTGAAATTTTATTCTCTTTTGAAATATTTATTCAGTGTGTTTTACATTAAATGCTAAGGATTAATTCTTACCTTTAAGCCTCCTTACAGTTGTAGCCAGTCTGCCTAAATATTGCTATGTTGTGCTTAATACCTTTAGTGTTTTGCTGTAATACCCTAGAGATTGAAATTTCAAAGTAGAAGTTTATAGACTTTAGAATTCTTTTGTGCTGGTTCCATTCTATTCATTATTTCTTCTTCATGCAAAACTTTGTGTGTGGTCTTTTTTGTATTGATGAGTCTATTTCCAGACTATTTTCAAAATGTTATTTTATCCTCTGCCTGGTAACCCGTCACAAGTTGGATGGGCTCTCTTTCTTCAGTCATCCATGTTTACAAAGTGACCATGTGGGTGAATAATGTCAATGTCACCTCATTTTTATCAATTAATTCAATCTAATATTGAACATTAGTGAAGAGTTTTTATACCATTGCTACTCATTTCTGTCTCTTATTTCATAATTTAAAAAAAGATAAATGTTTTCTTTTTTTTACCTTTATCAGGACATTGTGTGTCTGGGTTTTTTCTTCATGACTGTTTGTAATTCTGAAATACAGTGTGTTAACTTTGTTCACAAGACATTTTATTCATCTTCTTTGACCATTATTCAAAAGGAATGACTTGTGCTATCATAAACATTGACCTTTTTGTGTTTCACTTCTTTTAATATTCTGGCATTTAATGTAAATTCCTATTGAAAATAGTATAATTTATGAATTAGAAAACTACAGGGTACTCTACATAAAGAACTACTCCATTTTCTGTTAGCTTAGGGTTTTACTGGGATGGAAATTATCAAAAAATCTCCTCAGTCAACAGGAGTCAACCAAATTCAAAATTAATTTCAATACTTCTGAATTATTATTACGTGATTAAATGCTACAATAATACTGTAACTATAAGCTGTGACAGAAGGTACTAATTATGGTGACCTTACAAGGAATTCAGTATAGAGTACTGAGGTGCAAAAGTATCTTAAAATGACTTTAAACAAGAAAACCATAAAATATAAAATACCCATGAATGAAATTAATTGATGCTGTGATTTAGAAATACAGACTTGCCAAAATCTTTGGGCAACAGACACATAACATTCCAAACTGTTTACTTGCTGCTAATTAGAGATGTTTGCTTTAGTGCACAGTATATAGTGCTGGGGCTCTATAAATATGGCTTATAGTATTTAGAACATTAAAACTACTTGTGCTGAAGAATAGTGATAACTCCAACTTAATGAATGATAAAGCAAAATTTCATCATTGAATAAAAATTATACAAAATAAACTTGTTGTTGTTCTTCCACACATTAACAAAAGAAAATACTTCAAAATCAAAATTTGTTCAATTAAAAAAAGCCCTTTTTATTTAATTTTAATATGAAAATAAAAAATCATAAATTTTGCTTCTGGGTTGATTTCAGTGATTTTCTGAGCATAATATGGTACTAATAGCCCCAAGGAGGAAAGTCATAATATGGTACTAATAGTCCTAGGGAGGAAAGTCATAATATGGTACTAATAGCCCTTAGGAGGAAAGTCATAATATGGTACTAATAGCCCCTAGGAGGAAAGTCATAATATGGTAATAAAAGCCCCTAGGAGGAAAGTCATAATATGGTAATAAAAGCCCCTAGGAGGAAAGTCATAATATGGTATTAATAGCCCCTAGGAGGAAAGTCATAATATGGTAATAAAAGCCCCTAGGAGGAAAGTCATAATATGACACTATAAGCCCCTAGGAGGAAAGTCATAATATGGTACTAATAGCCCCTAGGAGGAAAGTCATAATATGGTATTAATAGCCCCTAGGAGGAAAGTCATAATATGGTACTAATAGCCCCTAGGAGGAAAGTCATAATATGGTACTAATAGCCCCTAGGAGGAAAGTCATAATATGGTATTAATAGCCCCTAGGAGGAAAGTTATAATATGGAACTGATAGCCTCTAGGAGGAAAGTTGACATAATTTTAAACAACATGACACTAACTTGATTTTTGTAATTGTTATTAACTTGTAGTTTTATCAGTTTTAGTCCATCATTGTTTCTCTACCTCAGTCATTATGTTGTAATGTAATTGCCTATATCTCAGCTATGAGAAGTCATAGGCTAGTGACCGAAATATGTAATGAAAACTGTTATGTTTTCTTCAACTGTGTTAGCCAGTGTGACTTCCAGTTCCACTGAGTTTTGCATAGAAATCAGAACAAGGTATTTGCTTAGGTTAAATAACAAAAGAATAACTAGATTTAGTAATATTGTTAAATGAAAATAGTAGGATTAATATTTTAAATTAGAGCTTAATGGTGTAAACTGTACTACAACGTTAGATTAGGCTTAGAATGTGTAACAGTACTTTAGGCTTATCTATAATTCAACTTACTGGTGAATTGTAAAACAGGTTAAGGTAGCACTGACCCTTAAAACTAGGCAAATTTACATGCTGAGAAAACACTGTTAAATGCTTCTTATAACCTTCAAAAAAGTATGATGTTGCAATCTCTGAGAGTACATATTCAGTCATACATGTCATATGCATAATAAAGGGATAAAGAAATACATAACTTAAACTGTTCTAACACAATAATTTTACTTAGGAATGATAAAAACATGTGAAAATGTATACAAATGCTCTTTGTGAACATCCTCATAGCTTGAATTAAAAACTTTGCAAATTTCCTACAATAATAACGAGCTGTGAGAAATTAATTTTAATTAATGCCTTCGTTAGTGGTAATTAGACACATGACAAGACAATTGTTAACTATTTTTTAATTTAAACAAATTCAAGCTGTGAAAGAGTGTAATATCAACAAGTGTGCTAAATTTCATGCTGATATTTACTTTTTTTTAATAATGAAGTTATCATGCTAATAAGTTGGTAGCCAAGTGAAAACTGTGTTCTGAGAAAATAACCGTTAAAGTTTTTCTGTACTTAAGTGTCAGTAAGCTTTTAGTAGATGTGTGCATTTACTGCATTTACAATATCTCAATCCCATTGTAGGCACCAGGAGCCATCCTAACTTCATTTTCTCATCTAATATTCCCCTGAAACGTAAACATCCCCTTCTTTTTTGGTAGGAGCTTCCTCAATGCCCTTCTTGACATTTCTGTGAGACAGGTGTTCCTGCTTTTCTTTCTGCTACTTTCACCTTTTCTAAGTCAATTTTCTCCAGATATTTTCATGTATATGGTCCTGTAGTCATTTTTATTGATTGAGGGACTCTTATTTTGGATTCAGCACCTTCATTAAAGGTGCACACAGCATCAGCAGAAGTCCAACAAATGGTTTTGTTGCCAGGAAGTGAAGACTTGGGGCATCTTCTCAATCTCATGTGATTTAATGACTTATTAGGGTTTGGGGTAATGCAGTCCAAAGTTGGTTTAGAGAGTCTGTCAAATAATGGTTTGATGCTGATGCTATGGTAGGCTTATGAAGGAAGATGTCAAGTTCCCCCCCCCTTTGCTTCTGCCTTATGATAATTGCACCAACTGTTCACTCCCTTTGGACAAAGTTGATGCTGTGATCTTGTGATAGTATATTACCAAAATAACATTCTTCATCCCCTGTAGGTCTCCTTTGTTACTACTTATGGCTTTTTCATACCAGAACTGGAAGGAATCTATAGCTATGTTGGTTAACCACCCCTACCCTCCAGTAGTTTTCCCATCTGAAAGCCTTTTACTTTTCATGTCCGTGGAAACAGAATGAAAACAAATTAGACCTTTATTTTTAGTCATGTAGGATAGGTTAATTAGTAAAGATTTTAAGACACAATTGAGTTATTTGTGTAAAAAAGAGGTTAAACTTTCTATTTTGGGCAAAATTTGAAAAATGTGATTTTTGAAATATTGGAGGTGCTCTTTAAGGGTAAGTACTACCTTAAATACATTGTTTTATTAAACAAATAGACTCTAAAGGCTAGTT